GCTGTGTGATGAATTTGTAATTAGCAACCACAACACCTTATAAAAACTTGAAAGAAATCCCTTGTAGTTTTGTGAGACATTCACCCAGATTGAGTGGGATGATTTATTCTATGTGCTTGCTATCCATGGCACCTTCAAACTGTGGGTGCAGTCCAAAGGAAGCATAATTTATAACAGAAATTGTAAAAATTTAATTTATTTTTTAAAATGTTCTTAAAACATTGGTGGATGTTTTATCAGTTGGAATAAATTGAAGAAACAAAGAAGAAAAAATGAAGATGCCAGAAACATCTTTTTTTTAAACTAGAAAATTTAATTGAAAGAAAATTTATTTTACATTATTGGTTTTAATAGTACAAATAATATCACATTTCCTTGACCACATTTGACATTACACATTTGTAATTAAATCAAAATTGAAGTGATTGGTATCAGATAGTCTCATGCACTATTTGGCAAAATTATTGAGGTGTTACACTTTATAAGAACCCTGCAGCTTCCTAGGTTAATTTTACTGTTTAAGCATTTAAGAAACATTTTAAAATAAACTAGCTTACCAATTACCTTATCACTTCCCCTGATAATCTGTTTTCTTTGAAATTCAGGTCAGTTTTCTACTTAAGAATTCGAAATTATTAATTTACAATGATTTTTTGAAAACACACCAATCATTTTCCAGAAGTTTTCCATTAAATTACATTTTTTAAATAATTTCATATAAAACTTAAAAAACAATTGGTAAGAGAGTGTTTCTGTTTGTTTCAGTTGAACATTAACTTAGGAACCTAAAAGATTAATCTTTTGAAATGATTTGAAACATTTGATAGTTTTTTGTATGTGTAGTAATTCAGAACTTTATATCCAGTTAAATTAAACACGCACATCTCACCACAACATAGGCTCTTTTTACAAGCACAATAGGGAAAAGATATACTGAGACTTCAAATAAGATTGATAAAATTTAACACCAAATTATTGTCTAGACAATATTAAAAATGTGAAGAATTCTTTATTATTTTAAATGATAGTAAATATTTTACGTACATCTTTTTAAATTGTTCTTTTTTATTTACTCCATGATGTATATTGCATACATAACAATTATTTATATGAACTGAGAAACAAAAATCTCAAATTAATTATTTTCTTTAAATAAAATGATACTTCCCCTTCTAAATACTGAGAATGTACCAAACTGAAACTGTGTTAACAGATGAAAATTTGACAGACTAATGGGACTTTGAAAAATAGAAATTGACGCGAATAATAGAGCTGCACATATTTGAAATATTCTGTACTTAGTCACTTTTTTTGGGCACAATTTCCACACTTGTCTTTCACTGTTTTTATTTTCATATAATTTTGAGAAAATTTCGTTATTCCTTATTTTGGAGATCCACATAGGCCTATAGTACACAATAGATTTCCTTTCCTCCATACAGACCCAACTCCATAATTATTTCTTAAACACTCATTCACATGCTTCCAAATTTTCTTTCATCAAGAGGCTAGCTTCTCCCTGTAAAAATAAAGGAAATGGACTTGAGTTTTTTTTCAAATGTAAATTTACCAATAGGTTAGATTGTATAATCATTTTTGTATTGATATATAAATATTTTGCAAAATTCACATTAATCTAAAATAATTTTAAAGAAAAAACTTAAGTTACTGATCTCAATTACTGATGTTATAGTGAATTATTTATTCTTATGACATGTTCAAGCAACCAACTAAATAATTGTTGTAGACAGGCAGCTTACCTCTATAAATATCGCCACAGCCAGGTTTATCAACTGAGCAAATTCTTTCTTCTCTTTCGTGAATATTTTTTTACTTCTCTCACTTTCTACAATTCTCCTCCTTAGCACATTCATTGAAGGGCTTTCCGTCAAATCGGACGCAATCGATGAACATGCCAAGCAAAAATACAAATAACAATACATTCCAAAGCAAACCACAATTGAATTCGCTTGCAGACCATAACCTTCGAAATAGGTACGGTCGCTAGCACCGACCAGCACCGACTCTCTCGTGGGCTCCACACAGCTGTTTTGCCGGCATGTTGCAAGGGGAATTGAGTAAGGTTGACTCTCTCTCTTTATCAAGGCATGCCAAGTCCAGCGAGAAAAAGGACCTTATGGACCATCGTAGTCTGTAATGCTTCCATTGCGTAGGGGAATTCAGTTTAGGTTGAAACTCCTACTGCGGTTCAACTTAAATCTTAACACAAAAGTCCCTAAGCCAATTAAGGACGCATGGTGGGTGATTTTCACAGGTTTGGTATGGAAGGGAGCGAGTTAGTTTTGGCCGAATGTCCTGTAAGATGTCTCTGCAAATTCGGAGCGGCGCTGCTTTCGCGATGGCTCGCGACATGAACACATCAGCGCTGCGATTGCACTGCTCGGCGCGCCAGGCCGCCCATTGGTTTCGACCCTTTACTCATATGGCAGAAAGTCCTCTCTGTCAATGCGGATATAGTAGCTTGCGGCGCTACTTGAGATGGCCTCAGTAGCATCCATAATGCATTTTTTTTTATTTTGAGTTTGTCCTGATGGATCAACAGCCCGATACGGGTTTTGATCGACCAGCGGTGACCCAGCCTCTCGGCCATGAGATAAGTGGTTTGTATGGTTAGCACGAAGACATAATTTCATCGTATATACTGATATTCTTCACCTTAGAGTGGGCTTTGTCATCGTCACACAGAAACAGATACTGGGACATTTGTAATGTTATTTGTAAGCGCACAGTAATGATTTGCCACGGCCGGGAATCGAATCCATGGCGCTGTGGAAAGTGATCACGCTAACCAACGAACCACCCGAGAGGCATTTTGAACTTAATACCTGAGGTAAATTTCTTCAGATATCGCCAGTCGTCTCAAACCACTCGCAGAAAGCATACAACAAGACAGCATCGTACTGCTAATCTAAAAGCTTCGCGCAAATGTAATTATTTAGTTTTAACTCATACAAATCGCGCAGTCGACCATTGTGGTCACCCCTGCTGTCACCGCTGCTATTACAACCGCAGTATAGCTTTTTGCCAGCACAAGGACTGGTCTACCTCCTTGCGTGACAAGCTAGTTTTCGGACAGAACGCTCCACCCAGCGGCGACAGTGGCTTCCTTGCCAAGTCCACCTCGTTTTCCCGCAGTTGTCATAGTTGGGAGTGTGTGAGTTTTCCGTCGTGCACACATCCTCTGCGACACAACGTAAAATGACTGTGCTGTAGATGGTTTAGTTGTTTTGAATAATTCAGCCGTGCTGCGTATACGACTTTGTACATCGGCGGCCGCATGTTTGGCTCGGATCGGAGGGAGAAGGAAGAGTTTTTCCAAGGCGGAAACAAAACTACCATTGGCGAAGCTCATGCAAGTACG